CACCCACACTCACCCTAGCCAGACTCACACCCACACCCTCAAGATAAACAATCAAGTAATTTAAAATCTTTCTTTTTTGTTATTGCTGCCCTGAAATACTTCGAATTTGTCGAACGTTTTTAAAAGATAATACACTTCAAATGAACATCATGAGAGAGAAAAAAACAAAATCAAGATAGAATTTTATCAAATCATAATAATAAATGACAAGAAATGGAAATAATTTTTGAATATTAACTTTAATAACAATATGAAGATAAAATACCATCCACAATATTGTATTTATACTTATCGAGAAATAAGCTGAGCGTATATATCCTTATATGACATTGAACGAAAGCGATTTTTTTATTAGAGATATGAGACAAAAAAAAGATATATATGTTAAAAGCAAATATAAGAAGAGTTAATGTTTATTATGCGATATATTGAAATCGAATAGCAACATTTGGTGCTTTTGGTTTTGGTTTTGGTTTTGATTTTGCTGCTTTTTTTGCTCGTAGTTGTCTTAGTCTTTCAGCTTTAACAGGATCAATTTTAAACACGTATTTAAGAACATCCATTATAATAACAAATGAACATGTTAATACTAGAGCAACTATTGCAACGCTTGCAAATGATTTACTTAACGCTTGTTTAACTTTTAATGCACTTGTTTGAATTTCACAATAATTACCATAATAAAGTGATGGAGTTAAACATATACAACTCCAACTCATGTTAACTGTTCGACATATACCATGATTTTGACATGTTATATTAACACATAAATTAACTTTAAGTTCACAATGCACACCAGTAAAACTTTCACTGCAATTGCAATAGAAAGTTGTGCCATTATTGTCAACTGTAGTAGAATTCACTTCAATACATGTTCCATTATTCCTATAGAAGTAGAATTTACATAAAATAAAATTAAAATAAACATAATTTCTTACCAACATGTATTGTCTTTACATATTCTTTCATCATTTTGACAAGTACTACCTGTATAGCCTGTTTGACATCCACATCTGTATCCTAAAGGTACTGTTGCATCCGGAAAACAAGTTGCTGCATTAAGACATGGTTGTGACATAGAACAAGTATCTGATGTAACATTACAATAAGCACCTATACTCGTTCCTGGACAGTAGTATGCTGATGGTACAGGAGTTGTCGCCGTTGTTGCTGTTGTTTTTGTTGTTGATGTTGTGGTTGATGTAGTAGTACTGGTAGTAGTGGTCGTGGTAGTGCTACTTGTGGTACTGCTGCTGCTCGTAGTAGTACTGCTGGTGGTGGTCGTGGTAGT